GACCAATCAGCTGAGCCGCGGCCTGGGATGTGAGACGAGCAGAGCGCTGTTCGTCGTTCCCTCGCCTGCCGCGTCATGTTTGTGTAGTCTATACCTGGTCTCTGTCCATCTGCTCATGTCCAGGGACCAGAGAGCAGTGTGGGTAAATGACACTGACACGAGGCGGGTTAGATGTGACCTGCGGTAGTGACAGATGAGGCCGGGGGCTGGTTCCAGGGAGGCGGCACAGCCGAGGTCACAGTCTGAAGAGAGGCGTGAGCGCGATTTCTCTGCGGAGCGGCACCAGATCAGGACAGCGTTTTCTACAGGGGGGTTTAAATTCTTAAACCTCCCTCGCTCTGCTGAAGAGTGAGGAAGGTTCCCCCGTGTGGCGCTCTGCTGTTCCCCCGTGTGGCGCTCTGCTGAGTCGGGCTCTGTTCTGTCCTGTTGCAGCGTTAAATAAAGACCGAGCGGATAGTGAATAGTTGGGTGCGTTTCTGAGCACCACACGTTCAAGTGGCCCCGACAGGCCACACCGGTCACACAGGAGCCGGGTCCCCTGGTCCCCTGGCCCCCTGGTCCCCTGGTCCCCTGGCCCCCTGGCCCCCTGGTCCCCTGGTCCCCTGGTCCCCTGGCCCCCTGGCCCCCTGGTCCCCTGGTCCCCTGGCCCCCTGGTCCCCTGGCCCCCTGGTCCCCTTAGTCTCAGACTTCTGTGGGGAAGCACTGAACCTCTTCTCTCTCTCTCTCCTGCAGAAGTCGAGCCGGCTCTACCAGGTCTCCGTGGGCCAGTGTCTCTCCGTTGCTCAGCCGGTCGGGCCCAAGGGTTACGTCTCCATGGCGATATGCGACGCCTCCGAGGCACAGCAGTGGCAGCTGGAGGGCTGAGCGGGACGGGGCCCCGCCCCCTCAGTGACGGACAGTTTGTTTTAGAGACAATCAGGTTTTTGTGTTTTTACTGTTTTAGTTTCTCTCAGGACGACTTTTATTAACCAGCTGATTTTATTTAGGTTCATGTCTTTAAAACTGCTCCAGGTTCAGTTCCAGGTTCAGTTCCAGGTTCAGCTCCAGGTTCAGCTCCAGGTTCAGTTCCAGGTTCAGTTCCAGGTTCAGTTCCAGGTTCAGCTCCAGGTTCAGCTCCAGGTTCAGTTCCAGGTTCAGTTCCAGGTTCAGCTCCAGGTTCAGCTCCAGGTTCAGCTCCAGGTTCAGCTCCAGGTTCAGTTCCAGGTTCAGCTCCAGGACAGACTGAACAAACTGCATGGAAACATCCTGGAATACTTTGGATTACAGAGAAATAACCAGCAGGAGGAGTTTTCTTTTACTTTTTCTTTTTTAGGCTTCCAGGCCAGACCTTGAAAGTCCTGGAGGAACACTATGAACTTGGTGACGTGTGACCCGTCAGGACAGACTCGATATTTCCAGTTTCTCTCCAGGCGACCTGGAACGTGTTGCTATTTATTTAAACGGCCTGATGTAGTCTCCAGGAGCCGTCAGGTGACGTCTGTCGTCATGTCGATGTGTAACTCACCTGCGTGACGTCACGGTCAGGTGACGTCACGGTCAGGTGACAGCAGCCAGGAGGTTGCGTCATTGTGTCTTTGTGTCATTTCATCTTCAATAAATCTTTTAAACCCACAGACTGAAGAGCCGACGTGTTTGTTGTGATCCGGGTAGCTCGTTAGCTCGTTAGCTCGCTGGCTAACAGGAGCAGTAAATCCTCCGGACTGTGAACCAGGTCTCAGAGGAGCTTCAGGGAACCCGCACGGGGACGACAGCTGCTCAGTGTCGGACTCTCCGGCTCTTTTAAAGTTCTGCCAATATGATGTCATACGGACATTTTAACCCTGGTGTAGCTCAGGATCGGGGTCTCATTTCTAAACGGTGCGTTCGTACAGAACAGGGCTGGAAACGTGCGGACGCCACTTCCCGAGCGAAGGCTGTGATCTCTAACAAACAGAGCTGACAGTCAGTAAACTCTGAACCACGCGGACGCACAGAAAGAGGAGAGAAACGGCGCCTCACACGGCAGAAGGAGGAAACTGTTGGAAATGATGGTGGAACATAAATCCAGATCTGCCCTCCGAGTATTCCAGGCTTAAAGCCTTTCTGAAGAAACAAGTGGCAAAAAAATGGGTAACGGGTTTGACCTGAGCTCCGTCTCCACATCACCGTAGCAGCTCTTTCACTTTGCAAACCTGAAGGCAGCATGCAGGTAACTCAGCAGAGCTGCGGTCCGGAGGATTTCAGGTGTCAGATGGTAGCGAGGAGGAAGAGAAACACGTGTTTGATGAAGGCTTTTCGTTCAGCTCGTCTGCAGCAGAACAGCTGCTCGACAGTCAGGGTCCAGACTCGGGTCGCTTTTAAAAAGAGCCGATCCGTTTCGGATTTGGACCACATCTGGAAGTGGCCCAGTTCCGAACTGGAAAAGATTCCATGTGACTCAGGCCTGTTTCTGAGATCAGGTCTGAGTCACATTGGCCTGCAGGCTGAACGCAGCCTTATTCAAGGCTCCTGGAATCTCCCTGATTTCATTCATCACCACTAAATCCCCTCCCAAGATCTTCTCAAGGACCACTACAAACTGCTTAAAGTCCCCCGAAACCTCTTCATGAACCCTGGAATCGGACGAAATACTCAAGGATCTCTACATGTTTCTCAAGGCCCCTGGAATCCAGTAGAAACTGCCCAAACCTCCACACGGACAAACTCTTCAAGGACACCTGGAACCTCCAAAGACCTAACTTCTACAGAACTCCCCCAAAATAAGGACTCCTGGAGTCTGACCGGACATCCTTCTCAAGGACTCCTTGAAACTCTTGAAGGTCCACTAGAAACTGTGCAAGGGGCCCTGGAACCTCCTGACGCCTGGAAACTACTAAATATCTCCCTAAAACTAATGACTCCTGGAATCAGACCTGATCTGAACTGCCCAAGGATGACATCGGCCTTCTCAAGGACTCCTTGAAACTCCTGAAAGTCCACTAGAAACTGTGCAAGGATTCTGCCTCTGAGGAGGAGAGCGGTTTGGAAGCTCGTCCTGCTGACTGTGTTGGTGAGAGACGTTTCAAGGCTTCAAGGCCTTTAAAACGTTTCCAGGAGTCGGGTTTCTAAGGAGTTTCCAGCAAACAGGTTCCAGGGTTCGTTGTGGGTCTCTGAAGGGTCTTTAAGGGGTTCTGCTGTGAAGAGGTCAGAGAAGTCCTTCAAGGTCTAAGGAGGTTCCAGGAGGTCTTCAAGGTGTTTGTGTAGCTTTCATCTAAATCAGACGCAGCTTTATTGTAAAGTAGTTTTCCAGGTATTCCAGGACCTACATAAATATAAAGACATGAAATAAAAGTTAGTCATGAGAGAGATTCCAGGGCCTTGAGCAGGTTCCAGGACCACAGAGGAGGATGTGTGTTAATGCACATTGATTTTCACAGCCGGTCGTATTGCAGAGCTTTCAGAGTTAATGTGACATCATGCAGTCTGAGCGGCTGCCAGCTGATTGGACGCTCGGACAGAATCGACCTCATAAATCCACATTTACAAATTTAGAGAAACTTTATTGATCTGCAGCTCTCTGACAGAACATCGTGTCTGTGTGCGACTGACACACAAATTACCGTTCTGTGTGTGTGCGCTTCAAAAACTACGAAGCAGGCCTCCAGGAGTCCCTTGAGGGGGGTCTCTACGGTCCTGGAGGACGCTCAAGGGTCCCTCCAATCAGGTTCACGGTTTGCGTTACAGAAAAGCTCCTCTCGCACTCTGCAGAGGTCGGAGGAGGAAGAAGGGTTTACGAATAGACAGAAGAAGAAGAGCACAGGAAGTGATGTCAGAGGTTAGAGAGAGGGACGCCGCTGCTCCGATGGCGTGCGGCAGCTCGTTCCACCGTCGTGGTGTCACAGATGAGAACAGGGACTGAGGTCGCTTTGTGTGAAGCGATGGCAGAGACAGGCGGCGTTCGTTGGAGGAGCGTAGCGGCCCAGAATGAACGTGTGCTTGGATTATGGCGTTTAGGCTGATGGTGCAGACGTCCCTCTGGACGCAGCATCAGGGACTTGGATCTGGGGCCCCCGGGGAGCCGGCGGAGGTCAGGGGCCGCTGAGCTCTGAACCCTCTGTGGACGAGCTGCCAGGAGGGCAGACAGGTAACCGTGGTGAAACCAGCCAGCCGCCTGTTTGTCGCTAGCTAAAGTTAGCATCCCAGCTAACATCACAGTTAATGTGAATTACACCTAGCTAATCAAGCTAGCTAGCTGCACCCTCTCGTCCAAATACGGTCGCGTCCGGTGCCGCTGGTTGCAAAAACTCAACATAGCGGCGCCCTATCGGCCAAAATTCAAGGCTTCCGCAGTCCACAACCCAGCGGGTGACGTCACCATGACTACGCCCACTTCCTATATACAGTCTGTGGCGGCTGTGAAACTCCTCTGGAGCTAATGTTGGCAGGATGATGCGGTGATCCCGCCTGAACCCCGCTGAGCTGCTTCTGCAGACGCCTGGTTGGAAAATCAGCCGTAACTAGACCAGTAAGACCAGTACGACCAGTACGACCAGGGACCAAACCCTCCTCCCTGACCTGCAGCTCCAGATAACACAGCGGAAAGCCTCTGTGTGCGTGTGCATGAGTGCGTGTGCGTGGTAATCAGCGGTAAGTGCAGTGTGTTTCTGGAGACGATCAGCCGCCTGCAGCCGATCAATACTGGGAGAGATCTAACAGGTGTGTGTGTTACTGTGTGTGTGTGTGTGTGTGTGTGTGTGTTACTGTGTGTGTGTTACTGTGTGTGTGTGTTACTGTGTGTGACTGTGTGTGTGTGTGTTACTGTGTGTGTGTGTGTGTGTGTTACTGTGTGTGTGTGTTACTGTGTGTGTTACCGTGTGTGTGTGTGTGTGTTACTGTGTGTGTGTGTGTGTGTTACTGTGTGTGTGTGTGTGTTACTGTGTGTGTGTGTTACTGTGTGTGTGTGTGTGTGTGTGTTTCCACGACTTCATTATGTAAATCTCTTGTTTACACACAGTGAGGTCGTGAGTGGCTGTCGGCTGAACTCAGAACTTCCTGTCAGAGTTCAGCCTCTGGTCAACAAACACTTTCAGACTCTCAGTGTTGATCTGGGAGGAGCTGTAGAGGCGGGCTGAATTGACGCCGGGTCAGGCGTGGTTACCGTGAGGCGTGCGTGGCGAGCGAGGACGATCGGATGAACCTCTGTCACAAACTTTGCTGTGTCCACCACTGTCAGTGCGACCTTTTCTCTCACAGCGTCGGCACAGAGCGGTGATCGCCGTCTGCGACACAACGCTGGCTATGAAGTAAAGAGTGTGAACAGTAAAACGTAGCTAACTCGGCTCTGGACCGCCTCCCTGTCCTCTGCATGATGAAGGCAGCACGCCGCTGCCCTGTTAGCATTGTTCGTTAGCAAACATCAACACAGTGGACGCTGTAGCGCTACCGCAGACTAGCGTTTGGTAGTATTGCGGTACGACGGACACACAAGTATAGATGCACGCACGTAGCTGCGCACGTAGCTGCGCACGTAGCCCCTACGCAGGATAATAAATGAAGCTTCCCTCACTCTCTTCAGGGTAAATAGTTTTCCTCTCAATGAGACACAAATTCCAGTAAAGTTCAAATGAACTCAGGTTTAGTGACAAGCCACGCCCCTAATACACAGCTGGCCAATCACAGCGCAGTATAGAACTCACTCCGTTGAGAAAAATGTTGCTAATGTTAGCTAACGTCCTGCTGACTGTTACGTGATAAAGCTGTTGAACGGAGGCCTGCCGGCTGCACAGGAACAGCGCTGATCCTGTCAGGTGGTCCGGTGGTGTCACAGAAGCCCTCGTTGACTCGTGGCGTTCAGCTGAGCTGTGTGTGTGGCCGAGCAGGAAGACCGATAAACATCTGAAACAGCATCATCTTGTGTTAATCGTCAACGGGCAGAGCGGTCCCCGGGGCCGAAGAGCGTGAGCACGTGGATCGTGATCCGCGGCTTCACAGCAGGAGTTTAAACCGCCTTTCTGAAACCGGACGTCCGGCTTGGTGATTCGTTAACGCGTTCACACATCAGCCTGAAGCGTCTGATTGTTTCACGTAACCGTGTTAAAGACTCGGGTCGAGTGTCAGGGTCTAAGTGTGTCGGTAAAATGATCCGATGACACACACACACATTACTGGAACACTTTAACACACTTGCAGTACAACACCAGGCCGTAGAGCCTTAACGTCAGCTTCACACTGTCTGTACTCACTCAGCTGATTAATGTCTCTGCGTCTGTACTTAATTAACAACGGTTTCCTTCCACTGAAACATTTCCACGAGCTGTTGTATGGTTTCATTCTCTGAACGATGTGTCAACGTCAGGAGAGAAGATGTGTTTCTCATTATTGGCATGAATGTATGACAACAGTGTTGCCATATAAAGAACATGAGAACAATTAATTTCATTAAATAAGTAAATAAAAAATAAATGTGTGTATATTAAAGTGTGCGGAGGTTTCACAGGTGGTGAGTTCAGTGTTTTCGTGCTGCGTTCAGGGACCGTCTGCACGCCTGAAAGCGGTCAATCCAGACTAGTGAGCGGCGCTGAGAGCAGTTCAGGCTTCTATTGATCTCCGTTCTCCATCAGAGGAACAATAAAGTGTTTCTGCCCCCCCCCCCCCC